GGGCTAAAAATAATCAGACAGACCTGAAACCCCAAATGAACTGGTAGATGTGAAGGCCAAAAAAAACCAAACAGAACTGAAGGCCAAAAAGAACTGGACAAACCTGAGGGCCAAAAAGAATCAGACAGACCTCAGGGCCAAAAGGAACCGGGGAGACCTAAGGGTAAGAAAGAACCAGAAAACCTGAAGGCTAAAAAGAACCAGGGAGACATGAGGGCCAAAAAGAGCCAGGCAAACATTAAGGCCATAAAGAACTGGGCAAACCTGAGGGCCAAAAAGAAGTGGGGAGACCTGAAGACCAAAAAAACCGGTTAGACCTGACAGTCAAAAAGAACCAGACAGATCTGAGGGTAAAAAGATTCAGACAGACCTGGGAGCCAAAAAGAACCAGGTAGACCTGAAAACCAAAAAGAACTGGGGAGACCTGAGGGCCAAAAAGAACGGGAAGACATCAGAGCCAAAAAGAATCAGAGAGACATCCAGGCCAAAGAGAAATGAGGAGACCCGAGGGCCAAAAACAACTGGAAAGATCCGAGGGCCGAAAAGAACCGGACAGACCTGAAGACCAAAAAGAACCAGGTAGACATGAGGGCAAAAAAACATCAGGCAGACATCAGGGGCAAAGAGAACTGGGCAGATGTGAGGGCCAAAAAGAACTGGGTAGACCTGAGGGCAAAAAAGAGTCAGACAGACTTGAAGGCCAAAAAGAATTAGACAGACTTTAAGGCAAAAAAGAACTGGGGAGACCTGAAGGCCAAAAAGAATCAGACTGACCTGAAGGCCAAAGGAACCAGACAGAGCTGAAGGCAAAAAAGAACCGGGTTGGCCTGAAGGCCAAAATGAACAGGGTAGAGCTGAGGGCCTAAAAAAAAATCAGACAGATCTGAGGGCCAAAAGGAACTGTGGAGACGTGAGGACCAAAATGAACTGGGTAGACCTGAGTGACAAAAAGAACTGGACAGACTAGAGGGCCAAAAAGAACTTGGTGGACCTGAAGGCCAAAAAGAACTGAGGAGACCTGAGGGCCAAAAAGAATCAGAGAGACCTGAAGGCCAGAAAGAACCGGGTAGACTTGAGGGCCAAAAAGAACCAGGTACACCCGAAGGCCAAAAAGAACCAGGTAGACTTGAAGATCAAAAAAACTGGGAAGACCTGTTGGCAAAAAACAAGTGGACAGACCTGAGAGCTAAAATGAACCAGACAGATCTGAGGGCCAAAATGAACCAGACAGACCTTTGAGCCAAAAAGAACCGGGGAGACCTGAGAGCCAGAAAGAGCCAGGCAAACCTGAAGGCCAAAAAGTCCCGGGTATACCTGAGGGCCAAAAAGAATCAGACAGACCTGAGGACCAAAAAGAACCAGATGGACATGAGGGCCAAAAAGAACTGGACAAACCTGAGGGCCAACAGAACTGGACAGACTTGAGGGCAAAAAAGAATCAGACAGACCTGAAGGCCAGAAAGAACCACGAAGACCTGAGAGCCAAAAGGAACTGGGCAGACCTGCAGGCCGAGCCGTGCCCCAGAGCCAAGCAGGCCTGATAAACCAAAGGAACTGCGAAGACCTGGCAACACCATCCTGCCCCGGACCTGGATTTTGGTATCAAGAAACACTTTTGACAAAAAGCAGGTGGAGTGGTGGGAAGGGGCAGAAGCAGCAGAGCCCAGAGCAGAGCCACCGGCTCCAGGCACGACCTCCCCACCCGCTGGCAGAGCGCAGGAGCCAGAGCCCTTTGCCGGGTCCAGCTCCTGGCACTGCCGGGCACTTTGGTCTTTGGTTTTGGGGTCTGATGTGAGGGATTGTTTCTGTGGTGGTGGGTGGCAGAGGGGCTGAGGGACTGGGCTGGAGAGGGATGCCTGTCCCCTCCAGTGACAAAGCCACAGACAGGGATCAGGTGTTCCTGCTGGGCTCAGAGACCAGGTCTACCCGCTGGGCTTAGAGATCAGGTCTACCCTCTAGGCCAAGGAGACCAGGTCTGCCTGCTGGGATAAGACACCAGATCTACCTGCTGGGATAAGACACCAGGTCTACCTAGTGGGATCAGCGACCAGGTCTGCCTTCTGAGCTGAGAGACCAGGTCTTTCCCCTGGGCTCAGAGACCAGGTCTATCCCCGGGATAAAAGACCAGGTCTACCCGCTGGGTGCAGAGACCAGGTTTCTTGAGTGGCACCCAGGGAAGGGAGGGAGGATCACCGTGCTATGTTCCATCACTGTCTCCAGCTCCACTCACTGGGCACAGATAGCAGGTGTAGTGGGTTGGCCCTGGCTGGACCCCCTAAAGCCTCTCTCTCACTCCCCTCTGCAACTGGAAAGAGAAGAGAAACAAAGCACCGAAGGATTCACAAGCTGAGAGAAGGATTCACAAGCTGAGAGAAGAGCTGGGACAGGTCACTCACTGAGCACCCTCAGGGGCAAATCAGACTCCAAGTGGGGATATATATTAACTGATGCCAAAAAACCTCAGAATAAAAGAACCGCTGAGAGAGACTTTACACCTTTAAGCAGCAAGGTATTTGTGTTTATTCAATGCTGGACAAACTTGCTGGGCTCAGAAGTGCAAAAGCAAGCCATTTTATACACTCTAGATCCATGGTTACACCCTGGCTCTGGGCCCCTACATCTAATTCAAACACCTAGTTTACCTGATTTCTCACCTTGTGGCCTATTGTATACTATTCCCTGGCACTCTTTCTATAATGAAACTCTGGTCTCCAGTGAGCAGAACAGAACATGATTATTAACCAGTGCTCCTAAGATGTTTTAACAGCAACACAGGCAGAGCAAACATCAGACAATTACCTTCTCCTGGCTCAATAGGGCAAGGTATACCAACTGAGCCTTTTAGGCCTTTTTGCCATCACAACTGAATTTATTACGAACACGATCAGAGCAAGAGAGCGAGAAATAAAATCATCTGGAAAACATCTTTCCCTCCCCACCCCTCCTTCCTTGCAAACTCCACCTCCTCCCCTCCAGCGCTGCAGGGAGACAGGGAGTCCATCACCATTTGGCTGTGGAAGATGGGCCAGAGAGAATGAGAATCATGGAATTATTTAGCTTGGGAAAGACCTTGGAGATCATCCTTGCTAGAGAGTCTTGAGGTGCAGGAAGGACTCCCTGGCTTTCTAAACATCCCAGGGAAGGGTTTTTAGGCGCAGCTGAATCCTCTCTCAGCTCCAGACTGTGTTAGTAGCTTAAATTTAAAGGAATTCCAGAGCTCTGGGAAGGACAAATCCTGCTGGGGGGGGAACAAGGGCTGAGTGCGTTGGCTTGGGGGTTCCTCCTGCCCAAGTCCATCTCTAGAACTCACCGGGCATCCTGGGACCATAAAAACCTCCAAAACTCCAAGATTCAGCACAGAAAAACCCAAACCACTGATTCAGCAAGAAAACCCAAAACCACTGAGACCGAGGTAAAAAACCTCAGAAATAGTGAGATGAATCCCCTCAGAAACTTCAAAAAGTTAAGGTTCAGCCAAAATATGAAGATTCATGCCAAAAAAATTGTCCCAGGTGTTCCCCCTCTCTGGTCTCTCCCCTCTGGGGTTTACAAGGTCTCCGCTGTCTGGGATGTCAGGGGTTCCACTTCAGGATGCTGGGAGAGTTGGGGGTCCAAAGGGTCCATTCTCTGACTCTTGGCTTTGGGGTGCCGCCTTCCCAGACATTCCCCTGGGAAGGGGGAACTCGTCCCAGATAGCCTGGGGGGACCATGGGGGTCGTGACATCCTCAGGCTGTGAGCACAGATTTCCATGCAAAGTCTGCAAGGAATGAGTCGAGCTCTGGAGGGCAGATTGTGCGCCAGGGATGGGATTGCAGAGGGGACCTCAGGTCCCCAGGATGAAGCAGTAACCAGAAATAGACACAAAAAGCTCCCCAAGGATTTTGGAGGGGACTGTCCTGCAGGGAGGGGACAGTGACACCCCACAAGGGCGGGGCTGGCAAGTGGGAGGCTGCTCCAGGTGTCTGCAAGAGGCCTCGTGCTCTGCTCGGCCCCATCAGTGACTGGGACCAACACCCCGTCCTCGTGGCCAGCTGCTCTTTCCTGCCCCAGCCAAGAGGTTCCCGGCCCCCAGTGCTCCCCTGACCCTGTCCCTGCTCCTCCCTGCAGGCTCCGTGGCCATGCACACTTTGTGTTCCTGGGTGCCACCAGCTCAGCAGCTGCAGCCGCTCCAATCGGCGCCCGCAGCTCTGCAGCAAAGCCCCAGCTCACCTGGCACACAGGGCATGGACACAGCACCTTCTCGCTGCTGGGCACTCCCAGCTCAGCCTCTTCCCCAGCTGGGGCTCTCCTGCCTCAGCACCACCTCTGCCTTCCACTTCTTCTCAGGGCCACCTCAGGGCCAGATCTGGGCTCACCTCCGGGCCATTGCTCAGGGCCACCTCAGGGCCTGCTCTCCAGGACAGGAACCTGCAGGGAGGGCAGATGATGTGCAAGCCCAGGGGGGCCTGCTTGCACTGGCCTGGGGGTTTCTTTCTCCTTCCACAACCACCCCACAACTTCTCCTGCTTTTCTAACCCCACATCTTTGCAGACTAACCTTGTCTCTCTGTCTGCACAGACACATCTATCCCCTGTGGACAGAGCCTCCAGCATGTGCTGCCCTGGCAATGGCACCCAGAGAATCCCAGAATCAGCCGGCTTGGAAAAGACCTCCCAGATCATCAAGTGCACCCCTTGATCCAACCCCGCCGTGGTTCCCAGACCGTGGCACGGATGCCCAGGGGAGGGGCTTTGGGGATGAGGGCTCTCCCAGTACAGCCCAGTGACCCCTCAGTGCCCTCCCAGTACAGCCCAGTGCCCCCAGTACAGCCCACTGTGTCCCTGTCCCAGGGTGCTGGGTGATCCCACTTTAAGGGTGTTGGAGAGGATTTGGGGGGTTTGGGGAGGCTCTGGGTGCATTTGGGGGAGTACAACGGGTCTTGGTGGCATTAGGGGGTCAAAGGGATTTGGGTGGGAGGTGATTAAAGAAAAAATGGGGGTTAGGGGACATTTGAGGGGTCTTATTGGGGCCTGGGGGGGGGACAGGAGGGGCAGCACCACAAGCAGGTGAGTCCTGAGACCCCCCTGGTGTCCCCAAGACCCTCCTGCTGTCCTCAATTTCCCACTTGGCACCCCGAGCCCCCCCTGGTGTCTCCAGTGTCCCCAGGACCTCCCCATGGCCCCAGTTCCACCCTTGACACCCCCCATTCCACTGTCCCTAAACCCCTCCTCACTGTCCCTAAACCCCATCCCAGATGTTCCCAACCCCAGCACCACCCCCTCGAGTTCTTCTCCCCCACCAAGTTAGGGGACAGTGGTGACATCACTGAGGATGCCGGGGATGTTTGGGGGCTTTTGGGAGGGCACCTGCCCTTCAACACTGCACCCAGCACACCCCAAAAAGTGCTGGGACCCCCCTAAATCGATGGGAAAAGGGTGGGAGAGGTCAGAAGAGTGAGGAGGGCAGCGGGGCTTTGGCTTCCTGTCCCCTTTTCCATGTGTTAGTGTCGTGTCCCCACCCTCGGGTCCGTGTCCCCAGCCCTGTGCCCCCCCGGCTCTGCCAGGACATGGAGGACCAGGTCAGCTCCATGGGCTGAGACTGATGAGCTGAGCGGGGGCTGCGGGGAGCCCCCCGTGTCCCCAGGGTGCAGGGACTGGGGGGTCATGTCCGCTGTCCTTACCAGGCACTCGCTGAACGTCCACAGCTCCTTCTTCTTCAACCTCCTCTTGAGATCCCTCCTCTTCAGGAAGCCGGCCACGCAAAGCAGTGCTTCCCGAGAGGCCAGCAGAGCAACAAGGACTGGGAGATGGCACCGCAGCCCAGGGCACAGGACCCGTGTCCCTGGACCAAGGCCAGGAGGAGGCTGGAGCCCAGCAGGTGCCAGGGCAGGAGGCAGCCCAGCCCTGTCCCACGGTAACACCAGAGCCCACAAGTTCTCACCTGTGCCACTCTCTGGTTCTCATCGTGGCAGTGGACGAAGAGTGGAAGCAGGTTCTGCTGTGGCTTCAGGGGCTTTTTTCCCTCTTTCTTGAGCAGCATCATCACCCCACTGAAGAGGAGTATGGAGGAGAGCTGCACACTGCTGTCTTCCTGGCGCAAATGAAAAGACCTTAGGCCTGGCTTGTCCAGGCCCACCTGGGCACAGGCCTGAAAATCCACAAGGCACAAAGTTTTCTGCCAGCACCCACTGCCTGCGGCTGTGGGGCACACAGCCTTACGTTGTCAAAGAGCAGCTGGAACGCCTCGGCCAACTGCAAGGAGGTGGGGCTGGATACTCGGATGTCTTTGTCCATGAACAGAAAGCTGAGTAAAGTGACAGCATTCCCGACCACCTCTTCGTCTTTGTCCCACAGGAGCGGCACGAGGCTTTCAGTCAGGCTGCCCATTCTTTTGGCCTGTGAGGAACACAGTGCTGTGCCGTGAAAGCCAGCAAGGGTTGCAGAGCCGACCCCGCTCGGGTGGGGCAGGCCTACGTGCTGCCACGGGGCCCAGAGGCCAAAGGCCTGTCCTGGAGGCCTGGGGCAGCTGAGCGGGGAGGCAGCAGAGTTGGGAGCAGCTGCCACAGCTCCCAAAGCCCAGCCAAGCCCCAGCGACTGCTCTCCTCAGCCCCAGGATTGCAGCGCGGCTTCAGCCGACTGCCCCCTCCTCACCATCACAGGATCCTTGCTCAGAACCACCAGGCCTCTGAGCACTTGGTGACGCATCTCTGGGCACTCGCTCCACAGGTGCCTTGAAAGGGTCTGCAGGATGGCTTCACCACATTCAGTCACGTCCAGGTAGGCCAGTCTTCGCGAGCGAAGATCCGGGGAAGGTCTTTACACCTTCCAGCCTGCGCATTGGATTTTTTAGGTGAGACACAGTGTGCGCGGAACTGAGCCCACCCTTTAATCCTAAGGTTCATCTGCCGGGGCCAAGCGAGCTTGGACGGTGGCAGCGAGGTCCTTAGGACGTAGGTGGGTTGCCTTTAAGGGCTAACGAGCCCCACCTGCCCGGGAGTGGCCCTGACCGGGAATCAAACCCGGGTCTCGGCGGTGATAGCGCCGCGCCTTTACCACTAGACCACCAGGGGCTCCTATCGTCCAGGTAGACCAGGACCTGAAAGGCACGCAGCAGTGACGGGGTGCCCGGCCAGCAGGAGCCCGGGCCCGCCCAGGGCCGGGCCCAGGCAGCAGCACAGGGCGCGGTGCCGTCCCAGGCAGCCCTGCCCAAAAGCAGCGGTGGCTCTGCAGAGCCTCTGGGTTCCCTGCCCTGCGCAGGCCACTCACCCACTCCTCTGTGCCACCCAGCCCTTGGCAGCCTTGGTCAGATTCCTCGGCCTCAAGGAGCCGTGAGGGAAGCATGAGTTCTGGCAGCACAGGGCCCCAACACTCATCTGGGCACAAGTGTCACCCCAGCAGCCAGGGGCCAAGGGCACGCAGTGGAGAACCCTTCTTGCCTGGCTCCATTCCCTGGGCTTCCCCCACAGATGCGGCCGCAGAAGGGCAGAGAGGTGGAGGCAGCTCTGCCAGGCAGCGCTCGCCATCAGGCTCACCTCCACAAGGAACGCCATGGCAGGGAGGTGCCAGGGGCACATCTCTTCACTGAGCAGCTCCAGGAGGCAGCATACAATGCTGCAACACAAGGGCGTGAAGGCACAGCCCATCTCCCTGGCAGGGGGAAACAGGCACCGTCAGCCCTGAGCTGGGTGGGCAAACCTCTCCCGGGACTCGCTCACAGAGGCCCTGTCTTGGCCCAGCCCTCTTGGCCCACCCCCCCAAGAGGGGACACACGCACTCTGGGAGGCGGCTCCTCCTGTGCCTCCCCCTCTCCCAGCCTTTCCCCCTCTGCTCGGCCATCCCTTGCTGACGAGGCCCTCTGGCCCACGGCCACTGTGGGGGTGCCCCGTGCACAGGCAGAAGGGACGGGGCAGCCAGGATGAGGGGGTCTCACCTGGCCAGCAGACCCACCGCGTAGTGGTGGGTGTCAGTGTGGAGGAGCGTGTCCCAGCCATGCTTGCATTCCATTGCCATCAGCACAGTCTCGCACTGCAGACAGCTCAGCAGGGCTTTGATGGTCAGCACTGCAAGCCTGTGTGCGGAGCAAAGCCCGGGTCACGCTGAGAGCCCTGGCCCCAGCCCCGAGGGCACGGCAGGCACACAGGAGGACTGGGATGGAGCACCTGTTGGGGTTGGCGGGAAGCCTGCCTTGCTTCCGGCATTCCCTCCAGAAGGTGTCAACCTCCTTCAGCATATGCTCTGTGCTGAAGAACACTTGGAAGAGCAGATGCACAAAGAGCTGGGGGAAACAGGTCCTCACTGCACGTGAGCAGACCAGCATCTGCAGGATCTTCCACAGTGCCACGGTCACCTGGAAAAAGTTAAACAGCCGGAGACAGTGCTCAGTGCCCACACATCCATGCGGCAGGGCCCAAGCATGGGAGGGAGAGGCCGGGGAGACCCAGGAGGAGCAGCCAGCCTGGTGCCCCTGAAGCTGCCCCTAAGCCATGTTTCCAGCCCAGTGCCTGAGGCAGGGAGATGCAGTGCTGGGGGAGGAGGAAGAGCTGCCACACAGGTGACGTGGGGGTGAGCAAAGGCCAGTTGCAGAGACTCACAGCCAGGGCACAGACATCCCTTTCGTCCCCATCAGAGGTGCACATGCTGCAGGCTGGCCAGCTTCCCAGGACAAGGGCAAATATCTTCAGCGCCGACTCTGCAGTGTTTCTTGAGGAGATGATTGTCCTCCACATGGTCACAGCAGCTCTGCAGGGTCAAAGCTCTGTGTCAGCGGGCTCTGAGCCACAGTGCCACGGTCTGGGCAGTTCCTGGTGCCAAGTGACAAAGCCACAGCAGCTTGAGGAGCAAGGAGGGCACATGGGAGCAGGATCCGTGGCCGGCATGCCAGGGCTGAGAAACACAGGAGCCAGGGGCTGCTGCAACTCTGGGCCTGACAGACACCTGGGACGGGCTCTCCAGGGGGCCAGGCTGGGGAGCCCTCGAGGCTCTCGAGGGCCCCATACCTGTCACATGATGGGGCAGAGCGCAGCAGAGTCACCACCACATCCACGGGCTGTGCCTCAACCAGCTGCAGAAGACTCTTGTCTAGTCTGTGCTCAGCAGACACACTGGACGTGAGCCACCAGTGGATGTACCTCACCAAGGCCGGCACCTGGGGGGGCCACGGGGGAGAGTTGCAGAGCTGCCAGAGCTGCCAACTTGCCTGGTTTCCCCTGAGAAGTGCTTCCCTTCCCACTACACATTGCTGCCCCAAAGGCTGAGGGGGCCCAGCAGAAGTGGCGTGAGGGGCCGTGCCATCCCTGCAGGGTTGGAGCCCTGGCCGCAGGCTGCTTACTTTCTTGGCATTGGAGACACCATTATGCACCAGCAAATCCAGCAGGGCAGTGCTGGTTTTGGCATTGTAGAGGGCAGAGTTTGCCATGCCCCCAGCGCCCATGGCAAGGGTCTCTTCCCTCCAAATGCACCTGCTGAATTCGCAAACCATCTGCGGGACAGAGGCAGAAAGAGAGGGATGGGCCATGGAGAGCTCCGACAGCGGTGCCAGGCTGAGCTGGGACAGCAGGCCCAGCCCAGGGGGGGATGGCTGCAGGTACCTGTGCTGCCCTGTGGAAGCAGCCACGGGCACAGTCCTGCTCTTGTGTCCTGTCCCGACCTGGATCTGGCAGAGAGTGAGCATGGTCAGAGCTGAGAGGCTGCGGGACAGGCTGGAGAAGACAGCCCAGCCCTGCGCTCCACAGGCAGGGCCAGCCCGGCATGCCCAGTGCCTGGAGCTGCTGGGGGATCAGTCCTGGCCCCCCTTCCCCCCTCCCTTTCCTTGGGCATGTCCGCAGAGGATGGCATGGCATGGGATGGCATGGCATGGCAAGGGATGGGATGGGAAGAGGCCCAGCTGGCTGCAGCCAGCAGCCCTGTGGCCCAGTTCTGCCACTTACCCTTCCACAGGGGCTGGAACTGCTCCACTTCCCCAGGCTGCTGTTCTGGAGCAGGCCCAGGGCTTTCCACCTCCTCGCCCTCCTTCACCCAGGCCACCTCGGGCAGCTTGGGGGGTCTCTGCTCCATGTCTCTCTCTGGCTTCATGGCTTCCTGCAGGAGAGATGGCACAGAAATCCTCTGGGTCACCAAGTCCTGCAGAAGAGCCTTGAAGGCTCCTACAACACAGGAGATTCAGGAACACTCGGGGTCATCCAGTCTGGCCGCAGTGTGGCCCGAAGGGGGCATGGAGGAGTTGGAGAGCTGCCAGAGGGAGCAACTTGCCCAGTTTCCCCTGAGAAGTGCCTCCCTCCCTACCACACTCTGCTGGCCTCAAAGGCTGAGGGGGCCCAGCAGACCTGGCTTGAGGGCCCACACAATCCCTGCCCACAGGCTGCTTACTGGAGCAGAGACAACTCTCTCCCCAGGAATGTCCAGACTGGGACCATCGGGCAGGCGCTGAATGGGTGTGCTCTCAGTGCCTACGATGCCCTCAGTCGTTGCGGCATCAGACTCTGTGGGGAGTTCGGGCCGCGCGGTGTAGGAGTTTGTCGTGTCGTCACCGTGCCATCACAGCTCGCTGGGCCATCAATCGACATGGTGCCGACATTGGCCTTTGCCTTGAGCGCCTTGGGTGTGGCGTCAGGCTGTGCCAGGACCGCAGTTGGTGTGATCCTGGTCTCTCTACGCCAAATCCCGAAGAATTTCAGAAAGGTCTGCAGGAAAACGAAGGGCAGGGAAGAGAGGGATGGGCCATGGAGAGCTCTGACAGCCGGTGCCAGGCTGAGCAGGGACAGCAGGCCCAGCCCAGGGGGGGATGGCTGCAGGTACCTGTGCTGCCCTGCGGAAGCGGCCACAGGCCTGGTCCTACTCTTGTGTCTTGTCCCGGCCTGGATATGGCAGAGAGCGAGTGCGGTCAGAGCTGAGGGGCTGCGGGACAGGCCGGAGAAGACAGCCCAGCCCTGCGCTCCGCGGGCAGGGCCAGCCCGGCATGCCAAGTGCCTGGAGCTGCCAGGGGATCAGCATCAAGCCCTCTTGCCCCCTCCTTTTTTCTGGGCATGCCCACAGGGGATGGGATGGGATGGGAAGAGGCCCAGCTGGCTGCAGCCACCGGCCCTGCGGCCCAGCTCTGCCACTCACCCTCCTGCAGGGGCTGCGACTGCTCCATCTCCTCAGGGGGCTGTGATGGGGAAACTCCAGGGCCTTCCTTCTTCTTCTTCTTCTTCATCTGAAAGGGCCTGAGCAGGCTCAGGCGTCTTCCCGCCATCCCAACGTCTGGCCTGGAGAGCACCTGCAAGGGAGAGACACCTCGGAAGATCTCGGGGTCACCAAGTCCTGCAGGCTGCCCTCGAGGCCACGTGCCGCAGGGATTGGACTCCCAGAAAATTTCTGGGTCCCCGATCCTGCGGTCTGGCCTCGAGGGCAGCTGAAGGAGAGAAAAGCCTAGGGAACGCTCTGGGTTCTCAGGTCCTGCACTTTGCCCTCGAGGACAACTGAAAGAGAGAAAAGCCTAGGAAACGCTATGGGTTAGTTATCTGGTCCTGCAGCGCGGCCTCAAGGGCACCTGCCGCAGGGATTGGAGACGCCTCGCCAAAGCTCCGTGTCACCAAGCCCCGCGGTCTGGCCTCGAGGACACTCGCACCACAGAAAAGCCTCCAAAACGCTCCGGGTCAGCAAGGAAGGAGTTGTGTGGGGGGGGGCTCCGCACAGCACTGCTCTGTCCCGTCTGTCCTGTCGCACGCTCCGAGGAGCACTGAGGCGCGGCCACGTCAACACCAGTACCTCTCTCATCCCGTCTCACAAAGGGTCCTGTGACACCCTGGCCCCTGCCATCCCATTGGCGATGCCCAGCGTGTCACAAAGGGCACCCTGGGACACCCTGCCACGTGCCCTGGGGCCCCCCTCAGCTTGGCCAACCTGCCCCAAGTCGGCAGGAGTCCCTTCTCCAAAGTATCTAAGACAGCTGGATGGGAACTTTAGGCACAGCTCAAAAACTAAGCAAAGCTTCCCCTGCTGGGCCTGCCCACGGCAGCAGAAGGAGCCCCCTTGGCTGCCGACGCAGCTGCAGCGCCAAGGGCACGGGGCCTCCACAGAAGCTGGCACGGGCTCCTTGGGAGAAGTGCTGGCCGGTGGCCGGTCCAAACACGGATGGGGCTGTGCCACACAGAAGGAACGTGTGGGCAAGGCATCAATGCTGCTCCGACCCCATTGGCTGTGGCTGTACGAAAAGCAGCAGCTCTGGCAAGTCCTCACCGAAGGAGATCTGCCACCAGCCTGAGTCCTGGCAGGGGTGCTGCCCGTCTCCTGCCCCAAAGAGCTGTGCCCCTGGGGGACTTCTCTGCCAGAGGGCAGCCAAAGCCAACTGGCACTGATGTTTGTGCTCTTGCAGGGGCCTGTTGGGAGCAGCAGCTGGAGCAATTGGTGGCAGTGCTTGCATCTGTCAGAAGGCAGAAGCTGTTGCTTCTTCCAGGAATGATTTTTGTATCAAAGTGATGACCTGGAGCACAAAAATATCTTTGCTGTTTTACAGAAAAATCTGGCATTTAATGCTAAACTCAGGAAACCAGGAATCCACATTATTTTCCATTGCTCAGTGCATGTAGTTTCAAATCAAGCTGCAAACTTCCCAAGTTCATTGGCACAACCTGAGCATGTAAAATACTTGCAAGTTTGCTTCCCATCCCAAAGCAGCAACTCATTTGTCTTAACAGGGTCCATTGAGAGCAATTGCAAAAAATAAAATACTAAACAGAGGCAAAAAACCCAAAAAACAACAAAACAAAACTAAATTCGGCATTGTTTGGTTTTCAAACACTTTTCTGTTAAGGTCTAATAACATATACAATTCTAATAACATATAAAATAATTCTTTTAAGCTCTCAAGGAATGGAAGATGACTCAGTGTTACAAAAGCACCCCACACAAATAGGGATGTTGCAAAAAACACTAATCCTCCATCTGGTACAGGTAGATAAGTGGCCAATAACGTGCAGCTCTCCACTCTTCTGCCCTGGATGCCAACTGTCAGTACCACTGACAGAAAAAGACAAGTCATAGATATTCTTTCTGCCCTCCATAACCAAAACTGTGCAAAACTACACAGGCTGCCTTCAAACTGGATCCAGTTTCAGACCAGGCCTCTCACCTTCCACACATCTCCCTCCCCAGCATCCCCACCAACACCAAATCCTCCCAAACACCCCCACAGAACCCCTCAACATCCACCCCGACCCAGCATCTCCAGCTGATCCCTCTGCAGAGCCTTCCCACCCTCCAGGAGATGCCCTGGTTGTCCTGCATGTGCCTGGGGATGGCACTCAGGATGATCTGCTCCATGACCTTCCCTGGTACTGAGGTCAGGCTGCCAGGCCTGTAGTTCCCCACATCATCCTTCCTACCCTTCCTGTAGGAGGGCATTCCCTTTGCTCATTTCCAATCAACTGGGTCTTCTCCAGGTAACCAGCATTGCTGGTAAATGATCAAAAGCAGCTTGCCGAGCTCTTTCTCCAGCTCCCTCATTACTCTCAGGTAATGTAGAACATTCCACAGGAAAGCAACTTGCACCACAAGAGGTGGGAGGCATCTGTCCTGAAAAAAGTTGTTAATACTGTTAAATATCTCACTTAGCTTGCTTCAGAAACTTGCCTGGGATTAATATTGTTAAATATCTTTGCTTGCTTGAGAAACCTGCCTGACAACCCTGTAGCTTTTAGATAGGATACATAATTTGTAGGCAGAAAGGATGTATGGGGTTTTTTTGTATTGCTTAAAAGGAGTAACCAACCAGAAACCAGCCTCCAAGGCTGTGAAACTGAGTATGAAAATGGCCATCCAAAAGCAAAGAACAAAAGAGCCTGTTTCAGACTTGGAAATGGGACAACAGACCTCGAGAGTGCACCAAGTGAGGAAGACTATGAAATGTCCACTGAATGAGCACCAGAGAGACTGTGCTGCTTGTAAAAGGACAGCACATGGCAGCAAAGTACCATAAACTGTAACACTGATCAACAGGGGTGCTCACGCAAAATATTTCTGGGACACAAGAAATATAAATGTTTTGTAAACAACTAATCACTGGAGCACTTGTGGAAGGATTTGTCCCCAGTGCAAGCCAACCCAACCCTTCCCAACCCTTCCCAAACCTTCCCTTCCCAGTAATGCATCTACAATCAACATGATTTCAGAACCAAAAGACCACTTGATAGTTATTATATACAGGGGCTTTTTCAACTGTAGATACACTGTGTAATTGTTCTAAGTAATGTTGCCCAAAAGTTATTAGAAATGCTATTCTAAATATGAAACATTGCATTGTGTCACTATAGCAGAGCTGATATTTACCCTCCTGGTCTGGGGGTATTCTTGAGGTCTAGATGGTTTGTCAGCTTCTAAAGTTATGACAGACCTCTTAAAATGATGAAACTAAATGTGCATTACACCAGTATAACAAAAACATATGCATTAAAAGGCACAAGGTATTTGTCTTTCTCCTTCATCCAGGAGAAAATTCAACAGGCCAAGTGGCTGTGTTTTTACTAGACTTGACTACATTTAGTGTAGATCTGGACTAAAGAGATAAGAAGCCTTTTCCCTTTCACATAACAATATGGATTAAAGGGACTATCTTTTTCTAGAGACCTTGCTTTTTCCTCCAGGACTGAACTCAGCCTTTACTCAGTGTCTGTGGGTCTAAACTTGGACTGTCCCACACAGGAAGAGCACTAGGGTGTATTTGCCTTTGAGTTCTAAAATATTCACCAGAATGAGAGAACAACACAGCTGTTACACCCAACAGCAGTGATGAGGCAGAACTTGTAAATTCTGCTCTCAGCTCCAGAAAGAGAGCACTGTTAAACTGAAAAAAAAATCTGAGATTATCAGCCAAGTTTCTGGGTGCTTTGTGTTCTGTCACATCCATTCCCAGTTCCCTGTAACCACAATATTCCAATGCGTGTGCTACTCTCCCTGAAGGATCGTCACTTAACCTCCGAACCAGAATTCAGTCAGCAGTGAAAAAAGGGACATAACTTGGCTTACAGCAGGATAATCACAACTAAACCCCCGGAACGCACCTGTCCCTGTTACTGTGATGTGGGACTGTTCGAAAATCAATTACAAGCATACCAGTTTCAACAGTGTAAACAGCCACCAAAAATACACAGCTGTGCAAGAACTGCAATCACTATTCCAAAGCAGCAGCGAAGGGCCCAGACAGCATAAATCATGGTTTATTCCAGACATCCACATCGCTTCTGACAGCGGTTTTCCTCCAGATACGGGAACACGATGTGCTCAATACGCCGGCGAAGGCACCGCTCGCCCAAGTCGGCGAACAAGCCGGGTTTTAACCCAGCTCGCCCGTCAGTTTCCTCTACTCTGCCTTCCTGCCTTCTCAAACGAGGCAGTTAAAGTGTTTTTCGCCTCAGCCCCGCGCAGTTCCAGAGCCAAGCAAAGGACTTTCCCTGGGGCCGGACGGGACCAGTGTACTGGGGTGGGTGACGGCGGCACCGCCTCACAGGCCGGCCCGTCCCTGTCCCCCATCCATCCGCCTGGGAATGGCCGGGCAGAGCGGCCGGGGGGAGTTCCTCTCCTGGAAGGA